AATACGTGGAATACCAAGTGTTTGATTTTTACCTGATACACCAGCATAATGAAATGTATTTAATGTCATTTGTGTTATTGGTTCTCCAAGTGATTGTGCAGCTAAAGCACCAACCATTTCACCTGGTTGAACTTGTGCTTGTTGAAAACGTGTTTCTATTCCACTACAAAGCCAATTAAATGCTTCATTTGTTAAATGATGAATTTCAAGAACTTGACGTGATGATAATGATGAACGTAATAATATATTCATTAACATAGTTGCATTATATTGTGCTTCTTTAGATAATCTATCATCACCTTTAACAATAATAAGACGTTGTGTTAATTTTTGTAAATTTTGTATAATTTGACTAGGTGATAAATTTGATTTTGTCTGATTTGAAATAGAAAATTTTTTTTTAGCATTATAAATTAATCTTTCTAAATTACAAGGTAAAACAATTTTCGATGTATCACCAGTTGGATATATTTGTCTTAAATTAAATCTATCTTCATTTAATTGTTTCCATTCATCATTTAATAATTCTAATGATTCATTTGTATATAAATCTCTAATAACATCATCAGTTAAAAATTTTTTTAAATATTTTTCTTCAGTTGATAAATCAAATTTACATAAATGTTCAAATAATTGATTTGATGATTTTAATGATATAATTGATTGAAATTCAACATTTTCACCAGCTAAACCATCTTCACCATATGTAAATTGTATTAATTGTTCAAATTGATTTCTAACAGTTCCATCATATTTAATCATAACAGATTCCATAGCTTTAATTAAACGTTCTTGTATATAACCTGTTTCAACTGTTTTAAAAGCTGTATCAATAAGTCCTTCTCTACCACCCATAGCATGAAAAAAAAATTCAACTGGTGTGAAACCTTGTAAAAATGAATTTTCAATAAAACCTTTCGCTTCAGGTCCATAATCATCTTTAATAAAATGTGGTAATGTACGATGTTTAAAACCAAATGGTATACGTTTTCCTTCAATATTTTGTTGTCCAACACAAGCAATAACTTGTGATATATTTATAGATGAACCTGTAGCACCACTAACAACCATTGATTTAAATTGATTAAAATCTGATAATGATTTTTGTGCTAATGAACCAGTATGATCACGTGCACTATTTAAAAGACCATTAATTATATTTTCAAATGTTTGTCTTAATGAATTTCCAGGTGATAGTTCTAAAGAATTTTTATGTGCTCTTTCAATAACTTTATTAACTTCATTTTTGGCTTTTTTAATTGTTGCTTGTATTGTTTCATATGTTTCTCGATTAGTAATTGTATCAGCCATACCAAATGAATGTCCTTCTAACATTAACCAATTATTCCCAACAAGTTGTATATGATAATATAATTGTCCAGCAATATGATGACCACATTCCATAAAAACAATATGTGCTAATGAACCAGTTGATGTACCTAAAGTTTTTTTACATAATATACCAGATAATAATCGACCATTTTCAATTAAAACTTTAGTATCACCAGGTGATATCCATTTATATGGTCCATTATCTTCATCATCTTGATGTTGACTATGTGTACGTACACAATTAACTTCTCGTGGAAGAATTAATGAAAATAATTGTTTACCAGTCCATAATGGTTTTGGTTTTAATATAGCTGCTTGTGGTATACGTCCATCCCATGTTGGTAAATATGTTAATAAATTCATAAAATCATTTTTTTCAATAAATACATCACGTCGCGTCATTTTTTGAACAGCTGTTAATGTATCTTGTACAATACCCATAACAGGACGATTCGATTGTGGTGTTATTATTAAATGTGGTACTGTCATTAATTGACTTAATTCAGCTTTACTTTCAACTGATTGTGGTAAATGTAAATTCATTTCATCACCATCAAAATCAGCATTATATGGTGTTGTTACAGATAAATTTAAACGAAATGTTGACCATGGAAGAATTTTAACACGATGTGCCATCATTGACATTCTATGTAATGTTGGTTGACGATTAAGTACAACTAAATCATTATCGATCATAAATCTTTCAACAATATAACCAGATTTTAAATGTAAATCAGATGGTTTTGGATGAAATCTTAAATCAATTCTATCACTTGTATCCGTTATAATATATTTAGCTGCATTATGATTAATTAATTCTTGTAACCATTTAATATTATATGGTGTTACAATTTCAGGTACTGTTAAATTTTGTGCTATTGAACGTGGTACACCAACTTGATCAATTGATAAATTTGGATCTGGTGTTATTACTGTTCTTGCACAAAAATCAACTCGTTTACCCGTTAAATTTTCTCGAATTCGACCTCCTTTCCCTGAAAATAATAAAATTTATATGCATATAAATGAAATTTTAGCAGTTTGACTGTATGTCTCAACTATTTTTTTATATCATTTAGCTTCTATAATACGTTTGAGAATAACGATTTTTTTTTACAAGTGATAGTAATACTTGTATAATACTGATGATCGATCAAGTTCAAGAAATCTATATTTTATTTAAAAAACAAAATAATTAAAGTCTTCATAAAATCTCTTACTAGTTATGAAGATATGCTTTCGTGAAGTATGAATGCATTTATTATTCTCAATGTGGTCGAGCACTCACGCCCAAACTACATGATATATAAAATAGTTGGATCATCCAGTCAAACTGTTCAACCCCATATATATATAGATAATAAAATAAAAATACTAAACCGTCCAATCGTTCTTTTAAAGATTGAAATGGTTTTCCATTTTTCTGACAAGATTGTTTTATTCCAGGTATATCATTATCAAATAAAGTTGCACAATGATATTGAAGATCTTGTAAATGTGTTTCAATGATTTGTGAATCGTTATCACGTTGTTCATCTTCACGTAAAATAATGTTTGCTTTAATTATATTTGCTAAATTGTATGTTAAATGATCATAACAATGAGTTGTATCGTCAAATGATAATATTGATGGACGAATACATATAGGAGGAACTGGTAAAACAGTTAAAATCATCCAATCAGGTCGTGTTTGTTGAGGATTCATGCCGAGAATTTCACAAACGGAATCAGAAATTTTTCGAAATATTTCCAGAACTTGTGCAGCTGATAATTTTAATTTCGTTTCTTCATTTTCATTTAATGTTTGTTTCCATTCAATTGTCAATTCTAAACCTGATTGACGATAAGTTGGTTGTTTTCTTCCACAACCATCTGAATATTTAATTGTTACATCGTTTTCATTCTTAATTTCTTTAATAAAATAAAAAAATAAAAAACAAGAAAATTTTCTAAGATAAAATTTCGAAGTAAAACTCAAACCTTGACAAATTTCTTGTCTTCTACATGCATCAACAATATAAGCAAGACGTCGACGATAATTTCCTTCTGTTTTTTTAATAATATCAATTATTTTTGGATCATTTGGATTGACTAATAGTTTCGAACAATAAAAACAAACACAACGTAAAATTTTCAATATTTTCGATAGGAAAGCAACATTATATACAGGCTTGATCACTATTAAACATCAATAGAATTTATCTATTTAATTAACTCTAAAAAGAAATGAAAAAATAAAATAAAATACTAACATTCAATGTGACCGAAATGTCCTGGACATTCCATATAAGAACCAGCGCAAGTAAGACATTTTGAATTTAGATTAGATGGACCCTGTCGTGGATCCATAAGACCTTGAACTTTTCCTTTTCCTTCTTTAGATAAATCTGCATATTCAATCGGTGGATTTGTCACTGACATTCGTCGAATTTCATCTGGTGATAAAATTCCGAATTGTATACGACTCACATTACGATCTGATGCCATTGAATCAACTATTTATGAACTTACGTAAACCATTTCATTTCCTTGACTTCAATTCTACAAATGACACAATTACCTTAATAAATATACATTATTTATATCACAGCAATCTTAGTTCTACGATAGAATATTACCAATGACATATGAACTCAATGATAGATGAAAATAGATTGAATTTTAACCTTTAGTTTCGCTTTTATGTTGAAATATTAGAAATGAAACATGACGCACAATAACAAACGACGTGTATCTTGCCAGTTACGCAAAAACAATCAAACTTCGATTGGTCTCCTTGATAACATCAAATCCATTCATATTCTTCGACAGATGGTGCTAATCGTCACCAGACCTTCGCGACAGTCCAATCCTTCGATAATCTATTTAGTGTCTATATTAAAAAAACTATAACATTAAATCGTGATCATTTATCGATTTTTTTGTTTTCGAGACTATTATGATTGATACGAGTAGATTTTCATGTAGAGATTCGAAACGATTTAACATACTTTTGCACAAGTTTCTGATGTATAAAAAAGATATTTTAGAAAACTATTTCTAAAAGTACATTTTCTAGCATAAAACTTAGAAATTTCATCTTCGGTAAGAAATGTCTCACAGCATTAAAACTAAAAACTCTTAATTTGGTGTGGGTGTGAGTGTGTGGGTAAAGAAAAGCTCCTTACTGTGACGATTTTAGATGGAAGAAGAACTAGCGCTGATGGAACTACGCTTTATTATATTCCTTCCTATCAAGAATCGCATTGTTTACATACAAATCATACGCTTATATACTCGTCCATAAAAGAGAAGGAGAGAATATGAAAGGAAAGGACAACACGCATAGAAGATAAGTGCTGTGGGTGGGTGTGGGTGTGGGTGTGGGTGTACTTCTCACATTTACACTCACACCCAGACCCAGACCCACACACCCACACCAACACCCACACACCCACACCCATACCCACACCCTCTTATTTCTCCTCATCAGTTTTGGTTTTGTCTGCCTACAACGTAAACTTAAATTAGCCGATCCATACTTGATAAGTGAATTTGCTCCAAAATGCAACATTATAATCGATTGACAGTGTCTTGATTTTTTTATTCCAATTGTCCTGTCTATTTTTCTTACTTTTGATCTTTAGGTCACTGCGAACCCTGAAGCAATGTTGATATTGAAAACAAAATAATCAAGTGTAACAATAAATATCTTATTCTTCTTGTCAAGTAATTTACCTTGTTGATCATTGTTCTTTCAACGGGAAGAAAATAAAACGTAGTAACAAACAATATGCGTAGTTGATTCAAACGTCCATCGAGTAGAAAAAGAGATTCATCGAAACGATACACAGTCATATATAGTCTATCACAGTTGAAGAAGAAAACATTGGAGAATGTTTACCGAATGATATATATCAGAGATGAGCACAGGACAAGATTTTCCGTCCTGCCCTGTTCACCGCACACTATAATCCTATCCTGCCGCTCAGCAGGTCAGGACAAAATTTTTAGTTTCTTCCTGCCCTGCTCACCGCACTTTATAATCCTATCCTGCCGCTCGGCAGGACAGGACAGGACACTGTATTAAAAACAATGAATGTTTTATTTTTTGTTAAATAAGGCATGTATCGCATCTATTTAAGAGTATATGACCAACTTGGGTGTGGGTGTGGATGTGTGCGTGGATGTGGGTGTCGATGTACCTTTTCTCTCCACCCACACCACCATTCATATGCGATAACCAATATTTTAATTTTGCTTATTAAACTCAAAAAACTTCCTTATTCATACGCTGTATAGGAGGTGTGGCTGCGTGGGTGTGGTTAATAAAAGAACTAGACACACATCCACATCCACCCTCTTACATTGACAGATTTACATATATTTAAGTTTTTAAAGAGTATTTGTGCTACGTCAGCTATTGTCTACCCTTGAATAAATAACAACACTTTTCTCGACCTTTTATTCAATTCTCACCATTTGCAACTCTGCTTTTTTCAATACCCCAATCGATGTGGAAGCATTTAGGCTGCAGAGGTCCAGCCATACCATTAGGCCTACCCAACCCTTTCATCAGGTTAGACAAGCCGCTTAAAAATGCCAGGCCTTCTGGCCTGCCTACTTTTCTTGTGTAATAGGAATCTTTTATCACATAAATTAATTTTATGTTGAAGGAGCGGATTCCATTGAGTTACATGTTAAGGAGGAT